CAGTTTATGGCATCACAGAAATGCTGATTTGGGAAGGAGGCGGATTAGATCCGATTATACACACAAACTTGGGGCTAGACATACACAGGAGTCAGATTGTGATTCTTTTCGAATTCGCTCCACCTTGCATCGTCGCTTTCGTGCGTTAAAAAACGTTCACCGACCGTTTTCTCGAGGCAACGAAGATCTGACCAAAGTTCGTATCCCTGAAAGAATCAAATTAAACCATATAATTAAATAATAACTCCTTCCCAAAGAAACAACTTGAAGGCGCTTCTACGATCACATAAGTTAAATGAGAGTTCATATTTTTAAAACGAAGGAAAGAAATAACAAACTTTTAGAATTCTCTAAATTCAAATAAAGCACTGATATGCATTAAAGTAAACGACAAAATAAGCTCAAATGCAATTGAATAAAAACAATTAATAAAATCAATATCAAAAAATAGATTAAACTACATGAAAACCATGGTATTGAAAACAGTTTAGTAGACTTTCCAAAATGATTTGGCGGTAGGGTCATTGAGATACACGAGAGGAGTTGGGATATTCATATAATACCTTTTTGTCAGACATTAAAAAGGTCAGAACCATTCGGCAACCAAAAGAGTGTTGGATTTTAAACGTTTCTTTTTGCCCGCTTTAATCTTTATCGCATTTACCCTGGCGCTTAGGTTGCTTCAGACAAAATCTTTTTCATAATTTCTCATCTGTCAACGAGATGAATCCAATAAATTCCGAAACCATGCAAATTAATTCTTCAAATCTCGCAACATGCATTTTATGGCGACAAAAGTGATTGTCCTAGATATCGAGAGGAAGAATGTAGAGAGACATTCAGTGCAACTCTTTCGAGGACGTGCTGACCTCTTAATGTTGTTTTACGGTTGCAAAAGAATCGAAGATTGGATTAGGTTTCAAAGCAAAAAAAAAAAACGATAAAAAGCGTAAAATATAGTTGAAGGAAATGAAAGCTTAAGGGAATCTAATCTTAAATTGTCAATAATTGCAGTTTTTCCGAAAGTAGCTTTGTATGAAAATAGTTTACTCTTCAAATCCAACAAAAAGTTACTTCCAAAATATGG